CGCCCCTTTTATCTACTCGATCCCTCCTGTACAGGGTATAGCCATCTATACCCATGGTCCAGTCATGGGTGGAATCCCACTAGGTCTCCGTTATCCCTATGATGTCGTAATTATTTGAGTTAAGCAGGAGGATGAGTTCCCCAAGCTCCTGGCATTTGTGTACAGGCAGGCAAGTGTCCCCTTGGGGGCTCTTGTCGTGCCCACAGATTGTACCATGGCTGGGGCAGGGGTAGGCTCCCTCCTTTTTTCTGTTCCTTAAATATGAACCCTATGTTTGCTCTGAGCAATCATACAGCTCTTTTACATAAAGTGCAACTCCTCCTTCTCTCCTCCCCTGCCTCTCCTTCCTGAACAGTTTGTACCCATCCATGACAATGCTCCAGTCATGTGAGCTCCCACCAAGTCTCTGTTATTCCAATCACATCATAGTACCATGACTGCAAGGACTTCCAATTCTTGATGCTTGTTTCCCAGGCTTTGTGCATTTGTGTACAGGCACCTGAGGTTAGGTAGCTGATTGCCTTGATTTCTCAGGAAGTATGAGAACACCTCCCCTGTTTCCCACTCCTGCTTGCTCTTCCTCCAGGTCTCCTGCTTCCCCACTTACCTCCAGGGCTTTGGTCTCCATCTCCTGGTGAACCTAGTTTTAAAGCCCTCCTCACTAGGTTAGTGAGCCTGTTTGCAAAGATGCTCTTCCCTTTCTTTCCCAAGTGGATCCTATCTCTCCCCAGCAATCCTTCTTGGAACAACATCCCATGTTTGAAGAAGTCAAATTCCTGCTGGCAACACCACCTGTGCAGCCCAGTGTCAATCTACAGGATACACCTTTTGCCTGGGCCCTTTTCCTTGACTGGAAGGACCAACAAAAACACAACCTGAGCCCCAGCTGCCCTCTCCCTTGCACTCAGAGCCCTGTAGTCAATTTTGATATGCTCAGGGTCTCCCCTGGCAGTATCATTGGTACCCAAATGGATGAGCAGCATGGGGTAGTAGTCGGAGGGCTGGATGAGCCTCAGTAATCTCTCTGTGACATCTCGGATCTGGGCAAGCAGCAGACCTCCCAAGACAACAGGTAAGGCTGGCAGATGGCTCCCTCCATTCCCCCGCAGAAGGGAGTCTCCAACCACCACCACCTGTTGCTGCTTCTTGGTAGCATTCATCTGGACCCTTCCCTAGCCTGTCTTCCTCCACCAATGGAACATGCTCCTCCCTTTCTGCTGCTAGAGCTGCATATGTTCTCCAGATAAATGACTGTAAGTGGAGGTGAAGATCTCTGCTTGCTGCCAGAAGTTACAAGGCGCCAGCTTCCACCCTCTTGGGAGTCCATGTCCCTCTTGCCTGTTCCCTGAGAGACACCACGAGGAGACACCGCTCACGCTGCAGGTGCTCCCCAACCTGGCCATTGCTGGAAGGAACCTGCAAGCTGCAGTCCCCACAGCGCCAAACCAGGACCTGGGTGGAAGCTTCAATGGTGAGCAGTGCTGCCTGGACAGAAGCCTCACAGGTGCAAGCAGAGGCAGTGGATCTGGCGTTGCGATGTCCTCCAGCCATTTCCCTGGGTCTCTTAATTTGCCTTTTCTCTCTTACTGCTCTTTTGAGCAGACCTTCCCAAGTGAACTCACCTGGAAGGGGCCTGTTTGTTGCTCCTTGCCCTGAAGGTACTTTTTTTTCCTACCCCCCTGCTTCCTCAGGCCAAGCTGAAAGACTTGCCCCTCAAAAAAGGGGCAGGGGGCCCATGAACTGGCCTAGCTTGCGAACTGCATGCAGACTGCTTACCCTGTTTGCTGGCTCCCTAGGTCACTGTGTTTATCTTGGGTGTTGGCTGTTAAAGACGGACTGCCCTACACAAGTCCATGAGATCCTGATACAGAGCAGGATGGCATCTCTTGGAAAGACTTGTTTTTCCAGAATGGAAAACAGTACATATCTGTACCCTATATTTAGAATGTCTATACAGGTTACAGTGTCTCGGACCTTTGACTTTTTTTTGCTGCTTTGAAACATTGTAGCCTATTATTCAGCTCCAGTAAGGTGTACCTTGTAGGAACCTCAGTTTGCTATCCACTTCCATAGTTAATTATTTGATTTAATGATGTTTACATTATTTGACCTGTTACATACTAACCCACCAGTCCTAGAATGTTCTGCTTGGGCTCACAACATCATCTTGACTCATGAAACCTTTTGAGCTGCTTTCACAAAATCTTTCTTGCTTCATCTCCCTCTTACAGTTTTCTTAATAGCTGTTGCATTGGCAAAGAGAATGATTTGAATTCCAAGTACTTATGAATGACCTTCCCTAGAAACATTTCCTAGGGATAAGTTGGTGTTGAAACCTCACTCTTAATTTTATCCCTATGATGGTTTTGGAGTTTCATCTGAATCAGTTAATTTACATGTCTTCCTCCCAAAGTCTTAATATAAATTGAAAAAAGTTGCACAATTGACATTTTCTGTATCTTTTAGAGCTTCTATAGGACTAAATGATTCAGAATGCCTTCCAGTTACTAGTGGGAATAGCTAGATGTTCCAAAGCTCAGATCATCTCATAAAGAGTAGCTAAATGGATAATGTAACGTGGTACTGCCAGCAGATAGTTTACTACACCTGAATTTTTAAGTCTTTGGCTCTTTTTAAGAAACTTGCAAAAGATAAATCTGCTAAGCAGTAGTGTGAAGTAACCTGCTAACCTTTATCAAACATCACACCTTGGAGCTAGATGCCAAAGCAAATGCCAGGATTTAGAAAGGAGTACAAAAAACAGCCGTTCCAGCACTACAGCTTATCTTCCTCATTTCATCATCAAGAGAAGATGAATTGCTTGCCTGTCACTTACAGTGGGGCTTCATACCCATGCATACTCCAAACAAAAGTTTTTCGTATAATAACTGGTTCTTTGAGATGTGAAATCTATATGTGAGAACAACTTGCAACCCATCCTGTCTTTTGGAATCCTCAGACTTCTAATCATACTTCTAATTGTGAAGGAACTGAGGAGCATGTGGCACATGGGGCCAGTCCAGGAACACTTTATACACCATGAGGGGCTGTTCTGGGGTATATGTGGCTTTTGGTACCCACACTAGACCAGCCCTGCATACTGGATCTGGTGCGCATGGCCTGTATATGGGCCACACATAGCCCAGTCCAGACCAACACCAGATCCAGTGTGCAGGGCCAGTCTGGTACAGCTGTCATTTTCACTGCAGATCCTAGAATGGCCTCATGTTGTGCGCAGCACACTGGCCCCAGCTCTGCATGCTGCATATGGCGCACCGGGCCAGTCTGGCGTGGGCTGCACACAGCATGGGGTCAGTCTAGTGTTGGCTGCACATATCTTTGACATCCCTGTGTTAGAAAATAGACAATAAAAATGTAACGCATGTGAAACAGGAGTCAAACTCTTAACTATATTTTTTTTCATGCATGGTCACTAGAGATTTCCAGGCTTTGAATGCTAGTTTCTGCTAGGTTATTCAAAAGATGGTAGTTCTTTGCATCTCCTGTTTAAAATAATTATTGTGGGTGTGTTGCTCATGGTTGGAAATACTTTCTTTTGTTCCTTGTAAAATTTAAGGAAGTTAAGGGAAGGATAGAAGAGTCGATAGTATTGATAGTCAAATAATATTGGAGTTAAACTGCTGTTATAGAAACACCATTCCATTAGAAAGGGGTGAAGGTTAGATTAGCATAAGAAACAAACAGGCATGCTGTGATGCTGCATGCATTTTTCAATCAGTAGGACTGGAAGAATAACCTAATCTATATTGCTCGTCTATTATCTTTAGAGTTTGTTTAAAAACCATTGGAAAAAAGTGAGTACTTTTTCAAATGAATAATTCTAGTAGTTAGAGAGGGAAAAGACTATTTAGCTCAGAAATCTCAAATGCTAAAACAAGTGCTTTTGACCTGTAGACTGATATTCAGTATAATATATTGTAAGCCTTTTTAATAGAAATATTAAATAGAAATATGCGAGATGATGCTTATATTTGTAATTTTTTTAAGCAGATATGTGGAGGTTAGTATGTGAGCATAGGGGATAACTTGACAAAATACAGAACTTTTACTTGTATAAGAAAGTGTTTGAGGATGTCAGGTTTCATAACATGCCTATTTCTGCATTGCTAATTTGTCTCCTCATAATACCTCACGCTGCCTTATTCTCATTGTGTCAGGGAACAAACAACTCAAGGTCTGGCCGGTGAAAATTGGTGCCTTGTTCTTAAGTTGTTATTGATCATTAACTTCTTTGCACTGTGTTAATGAAAACATTTGGTTTTTTTTTTTTATCCCCCTGTTCCTCCCCTCCAGTTTAGAGAATTCTACAAACAGTGCCGATCCATCCAGCAACAAATTTGTTTTTGGACAGAACATGAGTGAGAGAGTGTTGGTGAGTACCCATTGATTATGAAATTTGATATTTCTTTTGGATATTGTTTATGTTGATTCCCATTCACTGAGGTATGAAAGCTTGTATGGAAATCTGGTCACCAGTATTGCTTAGAACTGCACTAGAGTTAAATGTCTTTGTGGCAGCACATGGATGACTGTGACCCCAATTACCACTTAAGCTCAGATCCTCAGAGGTATTTAGGTGCCTGACTTAGTTGTTCCACTTGTTTCAGCACACTGTCTTTCAAACCTTCCCCTTTGCAACTAACCAGTTGTCAGCAAAGTTAACTGGACACTGCTATAGTTAACATTTCAGGGCACATTCCTACCACCTTACTGCGAGTTTTTCTTAGTTGTGTGTTCAGCTGTCCAGTTGGAGTTAAGGCCAGTCCTGGTTGAGGTAAGTGTAGTATGTCTCTAAGTGATGGCCACGCAAGATGCTTGCTCTTCTAGGACTCGTGTCAAGAATCCGATCGCTTTGGCAAGTTAAGGCAAATCAATGAAATAGTATGAAGTTGATCCACTTAAGGTACCCCAAAACCCCTATGTGGAACCATGTATTCAGGAGTAAAGGGGCTTCAGTTTGCCTCACGAATGAAGGCATCTGCACATTCATGTATAGTGTCTTAAGTTGCATAGAATGAATTGATTTCAACTGTGTGAGTCCTTGCTTAGACATGCCCTTTGGAAACCATGACTGGCAAGTAGAACATTCTTTTCCAGCAGGACCTGAGAAGCTGGGGCTACTACATGACATCCTGTTTTCTGGAGTGATTTATGAAAATTACTATGGATTTGTGCATCAGAGGCCCAGTTCCTGACATGATCATTAGCTAAGGTAGCCAAATCCCTTAGTGATCAGGCAGGTCCTTTGCCACTAATACCAATGTGAGGGGGTTTTAGCTCCACTCTTCTGTACATCACTATTAATACCCAAAGCCAAGCACTTCAGCTTGCATCTTATTCTAACCAGTAAGGAAGAATTGGTTGCAAATGTGAAGGTGATAGGAAAGTTGAGACAAACTAACCATGGTATGATAAACCTGTGTATTACAGAAATACTGCTCAGGACAAGTGTATGCATCAAAACCAAAAAAGGTACCAAGTGGTCCAAAAAAAAAAGCCCTGCATAGCTTAATAGCAAAGTTGAGGAGGCTATCAATGGCAAAGACATCATACAAAAAAAAGAGAATGTCTCCAAATGAGGAAAACAGGGAAGCATATGCACTCTAACAGATAAAACGTAAATATAAAAACTTAATAAGGTAAGCCAAAAAAGGATTTGAAGAGCATCTTGCACAAGGCACTAAAGTTAACAATAAAATTTTTTTGCTACGTCAGAAGCAGGAAGCCAGCCTGGTGGGACCATTAGATTACCAGGTATAAAAAATGTGCTCAGAGATGATAGTGCCATAGCAGAGAAGCCAACTGAACTCTTTGCATCAGTCTTTACTGACTCTATAAGCGAATTCTCTGTGTGTGTGCATATATTAAAAATAATAATAATAATAATTTTCTCTTGTTTCTAAACCTGCCTTCTGATAATTTAGGTGGTTGCCCCTACTTCATTTTGGGACTTAATACCATAGAAAAGGAGGACTCATGAGGTCATGTAGTTGTCTCCTGCTTAAGACCAGGATCATCCCTGACTAAATCATACCAGTCAAGGGTCCGTCTAACCTGGTCCTGAAGTTTCCCTTGATGGAGATTCTACAACTTCCTTAAGCCTGGACCGGTGCTTGACCACTCTGAGTCGAAAAGTTCTTCCTAATTTCTAACCTCTGCTACAGTTTGAGGCTGTTGCTTATAGTTCTGTCCCTTACTGCCACAGAGGAAAGTCCATCTCCATCTGTTATAATTGTCACCCCCCCGCCATAATCTTCATATTAAATAATCTTGGTACGTTCAGCCTTTCCTTATGAGCAGGGATCTTGGTTTTCTCTGTTTAGAAAAATCACAAATTCTCTGACTTGTACCTCCCAAAATCCATGTTTTTCAGTGACTTAAAATGAAATGCTGCACACACGGTATCAGTTGAACAAAATGTTTTATTGATACATTTACAAGTTTAAAGCAGTTTAGTAGTCTACTAATGCCTTGATCACTATAATAAAATAAATTCTAAAAACCTATAAATTTTGACACTGATTTTGGGTTTATCACAGAAAATCAGAGCTCCGTCTGCCCCTTTACTCACTAGTACTCACATCCAGCTGCAGCTGTTCCTCTCTTCCTCCATCGCCTGTGGGAGGCAGAGGCTGCTGTGGCCAGAGCAGAGTGCAGAGCCTGACTCCCCCTCCCTTGTGGGCAGCATGGCTGGAGCAGAGCCCATGGGGGAGAGGGGTGGTGTGGGCATGGGCTCAGGTTCCCTGCCCTGCTGGCTTCTTGGGACCCTGGCTCAGTGGGCAAGACCTGCTGCAGCAGCAAGGGGTGGGGAGGGGAGGCTTGGTGCCACCACCAGGAGCCCTGTGCTGCCCTGGTGAGGCATGTTCTGCCCACCCAGCAGCAGTGGGGACACAACTCTGTGCTGCTACTCCTGCTACTGACAGGTGGGCAGGGGATGCCTCGCTCTAGTGGTGAGGGGCTCTCAGCAGTGGCAGCAGGCTTCCCTACCTCGCTTTGCCCTGCTGCACCAGGTCCCACGTGCTGGGCTGGAGAGGCCCCAGGGGGAGGGCAATAGGGTGGGGAACCCTGAGCCTGCAACAGGCAGCCTGTATCCATCCCTGATCCATGCACAAATCTGGCGGGCACGTGCCCCCCATGCCTCTTCCTGGGAGTGTGCTTAGTGGTAGGGAGCCAGCCCCTCCACCACCCTCTGGACGAGCTGCCCATCGCTTTGTCCCACTCCCTGCCTGGGTCCTGGGGCTGTGCATTTGGGCCCCAAGCCTCACATACCACCCCAGCTGGGCAGCATTCCCAACCCTGCCCAACTCCTTCCCTCCCTCACAATGGGGGCCTCAATCCTCCCCTCTCTCCACTCGGACTTAAGTGCTGTGAACTATGGGAGTTTCTTTCTATGTTGCCTGGCTGCCATGTGCATGTGAATTGTACACACGTACATGTGGCGCTCCCTGCCTTATCACCCTTTTCTGCTCCCCACCGTCCCTTGCAAACTGGATTTCTGCTAGCCTGCAAGAGAAAACCCCATTTCCCATGGTTTTCTCCTTTAAAATGAAAATATCCAGGTTTTACCACATTTTTCTCTGGTGAACAGAAAACCCAGATCCCTGCTCATAAGTAATGTTAGCAAAGCCTTCAATCATTTTTGTCACTCTGTTGGACTTTTTCAGATCTGTCTGCATATTTCTTGAAGCATGGGGCTCAAAACTGGACACAGTACTCTAGGGGAGGCCTCACCAGTGCCAAATAAGGTGGAAGAATTGCTTATCTTGATCTGCAAGAGATCCTGTTTTGTTAATACAACCCAGTATGTTGCTGGCTCTTTTTTGCAACAAGTGCACACTGTTTACTCATTGTGGCTGGATAGGGGTGAATAACGAAATCTCTCTCCCTGGGACTTGCTTGCCACGCTTTGGAATTATGGAAGAATAAGAAGTTAATTCCTCAAAGAGAGAGAGTGTAGTAAATCACCCCAGAAGCAGGATAAAAGAAGATTGCTTTATTAGTAACTTCCCCACAGGTTGTGGAGCACCCTGGCTGTTCTCACAGCTCGTGGTCTCCCTTTTCTCCACCACTGTGCAGCCCACTCCCACAAGTCAGTCAGCTCCACTCGAGTCCCACTCTCTCTTCTCTTTCCTGCGGTACCAGCAGATCCTTTCTCTGTGGGACCTTCTCTCAACCAGTAAGTTTCTCCTCTCTTCCTCACCTCCTTACTTCACCTGTGTTGCCTATACCCAGTTGGCCAGTCTTTATCCACAAGCTGCTCCAGTGCTGGATCTGCCGCTCTTGGCATCCCTGCTGGATCTCTCCATGCTGTGCCCCAGGGGACAAAGGAAAACTGCTCCCTGTGGACTTAAGCAGCTGCTGGCTCCTAATCAGTTAATATTCACCCCAGGTGCCAATCCCCTTCCCAACTGTGTTTATTAAGTAATTAACTTTGCCCTATCCCTGACCTGACTGCTTGCAACTTGGTAACATCAAAGGAACAGGGCTGTCTTTGCCCAATATTCAGTTTATGGTGCACTGTAACCCCCAGGCCCTTCCCTTCAGTCCTGCAGGCTAGCCAGTCATTCCTCAGTCTGTTTTTGTGTATGCAATTTTTCTGCCCCAGAAGCAGGTCTATGCACCTCCCCTTGTTGAATTTCACTTATTTGATTTCGGACCATTTCTCCAGTCTATCCAGGTTATTCTGGATCCTAGCTGTATCCTTCAGTGTCTGAAACTCCATCCAGTTTAGTATCATCTGCAGATTTGCTAAGAGTGCACTCTGTGCCATCCTCCCAATCGTTAATGATTATGTTAAACAATATGGGATGAAGGACAGACCTCTGGGAAGTCTCATTTAATACCTTACCCCAGCTAGACATTAGTTTAGTTTATTGCTGACTAATCAGTGAGCATGATAACCCAACCAGTTATACAATTTACAGTTCTTTCATCTCGTCTGTATTTCCTCAGTCAAAACCCTGGCTAAAGTCTAAATAAACATTTGCTTCATCTACCGATCCTGTCCACCTTACCACAGCAGGAAATCAAGTTGGTTAGGTATGACTTGCTCTTGGTGAATCTATACTGGGTAATCCCAATCACCTTGTACTCCTCTAGCTGCTTCAGAGCAGATTCCTTGAGGACCTGCTCCATGATCTTTCCAGGTATTGAGGTCAGACTGACTGGTCTAATTCGCTGGATCCTCTTCCATCCATTTTTCCTATAGATGGGCACTATATTTTCCCTTTTCCCATCATATGGGACCTCACAACCTCCAAGAGTTCTCAAAGGGGATAGCCAGTGGCTCTGGAATTACCTCAGCCAATTCTTTCAGTACCCTAGGGTGTATTCCATCTGGCCCTGCTGACTTGGAAGTATTTTGTTTCTCTG